GCAGTGTTGTAATAGGTACTTTTATTTCAGTATCTAGGTACAGTTACAGGTACTTGAACAAATAAATACTTAGGTACAGGTATAGGTACATATTTGTCACAGTACCTAGGTACAGGTACAGTTACAGTGTAAAAGTACCTAAAAACTGTAAGTAGGTACTTTAAAAAGTACATTGAAAAAATGAACGCTGTTAAAGAAGTTTAATGTCTATTCTAATTTCACAAAAAAGTAATACATACAAATGTACTCATACCTTACAGATTAATTGTGATTTGTGATATTACTGCAATAGGTCTGTTTGGTGACGTAAGAGAAGAAGAATTTCAAACATTTCATCGGAAAGACGGTTTCTTTTAGGAGTCAGAATTTGTCCTGCCGTACTAAATAGCCTTTCAACTGGTGCAGATGAAGGCAAAATAGTATTATAAATTTTGTATACTTTCATAACGAGGGGATAATTCAATAAAGATAGCTTATCCTTTGATTTGTCTTGAAAATACCTTAGGCATTCCATCTCAACGATACTTTTAAAAGCTGCGGATTCCACATATTCTTTCTCTGACAAATGCAAGCTTGACGTTGGACTAAGAGGACTTTTAAGAATATCGAAGAAATCATCATCTTCGCTGCCAGCAGAAGCAGCGCCACTTTCCTCTTCATAGGCTTTAGCAGTATCTCTTTTAGAGGCTTTTTCACATTCAGTAATGAACAAGGATTTGATAAGCTTAGTTGTGCTCTCAATAAGGTTCACATCTGATGTTGTTGAGGTTATCCACTTTAACTTAAATTTTGGTATCGAAACAGTGGCCAAAATATAGGGTTTTGAGGTACTGCTATTTAAATTCAAAATATCCTTATATCTCTTATTAACGCCATCCAATATTGCGTCTTTTAATGCTGTGCAAAATACCAAATGCGAAAGAGAATTTAACGTTTTTTTAATTTGAAATAATGTAGGAAGTAAATACCCTAAACAGCAACTCTCTTCGCCTTGCAAAATATCAATAGATTTAGCAAGCACTTCCATAACTAAAGCGTACTCTGACAAAAATTCCAACTCAATATTTTTTAATTTTGGTTTTTTTAATTTTTCACATATTGTTTCTAGATGCTCTCGTAATTGCAGGATTCTTTGTACACTATCGAATAAAGAGTTCCATCTGGTGGGACATGGCACTAATAATTTGAGTTTGCAAATGTTCTCAATTTCATCCGCAGCTGCAGTTGACCTGTGCGATATGTTCCATATGGCTGTCAATTTTGCAAATGTGGAATTATATATTTTTTTATAACCACTATCCAGCAATGCAGTTTCAGCATCCTTTGTTGCAATTAAATTTAAGGTGTGGGAAGCACATCTGAAGTGCCGAGGCAACGTTATGTCAGAATCCTCTAAATCAAGATTATTTTGAAAATCTTGCTCAATTTCGATAAAGTCCGGTATAGTATTAATATCAATATCAAGATTTTCAGCTATTAAAAAGTCTAGGTCACCAATATTTAACAAATTATCTGGCGCAGAAAATATTTTAAAGGCTTTGCCAAAGTTAGCAGCATTGTCAGTCACAGTACCGACAATTTGCGAGTCTTTAAGGTTGTATTCTTTATGAATGTCTGAAACTGCCCTCCCTATTTCTAAATGTGTGTGGGAATAACGCATGCGTCTACAGGCTAACACTGAAGAACATCTGATTAAATTAGCATCAAAATAATGGCATGTCATGCCCAAATAACTACGGTTATTACTACTCCATATATCTGTTGTGGTACACACATATTGCACAGAATCTAATTTCGTCTTTAACGTTGTCACATATTTATCCTTCTTCTTCACAATTAGATTTGTTAAGGTTCTTCTGCATGGTGGTTTTATACCTCCGCTGAGACCGGATACCAGTCTTCTGAATGATTCCTTTTCTACTTTATAAATCGGTAGCATTTCGTCAATGATATAGCTACATATTAGTTCTTGAGCCTAAAACAAAGGTGTTGAAACCTCCATAATAATGACACATGCGGAGAAGTTAGTAATAAATCTAAAGCAAGCTTTGTAGTTAGTCGAGAAAATAACAACAAAGCTTGCTTTAGAATAGTAAATGTAAGAATTACTTTATTTTCAGAAAGCTTCGTATTTTTACACCTATCAAAAGGCGTTGCAAAACTGGTACTAACGAGCCTGTCTTCACCTTCATTGCCCCTGATTCTCTTAGTGGACCCATCTGTGACTACAGTATTGCTTCTTTTTAACTTTACAGAATGCTCCTTTAAGGAATCAAACTTTTTTACTGCACGGGGATGTTTTCTCTGCAACAACACAAATTTAAACAATAATAATTTAATTACAAAAGCAAATTCATGAAAATCATTGCTGTTGCCAGAAGTAGTCTTAAAAAACATGAAACCCAGGGTTATCACAGCTGGGTTTTAAGGTGTTTTAAGATTTTGCTGGACCAGTTACCCGTAAATGCTTATGAAAATTCCCCGTTGAATTTTTCGTGCTGCTTATCACTGTATGTTTTGCACACAACATGCATTTTGCTGTTATCTGAACCACTGCACAGGGTTCTAAAGGATCAGCTTCTTCCTCCATCAATATTTTAAAAAACTCTCCATTTAAAATCAAAGGCAGATTGTTCTCTTTTGACGCAATCAGAGGATCAGCCATCGCCATGTCTATCACTGATTATCAGTCGTGTATCACTCACTTATCACTCACTCAGTAGACACAGTAGCTGTGTCAGCACTTCAGTTAAAACAAACTCCAAACAGAACTTCTCGCAAGCCGCAAAGCGAAGAACAAGAAGCCATTTTGAAATCTTATTGATATGATATCCACATGTACATTAGCGAAGTAATAAATTGCCGTATGTAAACACGTCTTTTGAGCAGCGGCGTACCAACAGGGGTTTTTAGCGGTTGGTCTTCCCTTGCTTCTGACTCTGACAAAACCATTTATCTTTGAGATTTTGATTTTGTTAAATGTTAATGTACCTAAGGCTTGTAGGTATTTAGGTACCGTCAAAAATGTATCTAGGTACAGGTATAGGTACACTTTTTTTTTTGTACCTTTGCAGGTACTTAGGTACTAAATTAGTACCTTAGGTACAGTACCTAGGTACTTGTACCTAGGTAAGTTACAACACTGGCTAAATGGTTAAGGGTGCGTTTGCACGCCATGGTGTAAGAAAAGTGAACTAAGAAGTATTTTTGAAATATTCGTTGCTTTGTGCTGCCATCCCGAATCCGCGATCCCTATTTGTACTTCGTTAGGTCGCTGACACTCGCATACATTCGTCTTGAGATAAAATTAAAAATAGTATTTTGCTTATCTTTGGTTACCACCTGTAACTGTAAATATCGTTCCGTAACTCTAAAAAGGGAATTTAGTGATCTTGCGAAATAAATTCTACCTAAAAATACTTATTTACCATAATATACGGTTTTGTTCAGTAATTCAATTGAATGCCAATAACAGTGCTGTTATGTATTTGGCGGGAGTGCGCGCGCCTTAAGAGAGTGGAGGGTGTGCTCCGATATGCTGGTTTTAGTTCTTGCTTAGATATGGTAGTAGAATGTAGTCTGTTACAATAAAGTCGAGCTAGAGTAGTTGAAGTAATACGCTATATTAGTGTGACGTCGAGCGCCATCTTGTTGCGGTAGGTTAGTTGTCTTTATCCAAACAAACTTTTATACCATGTAAATTCCCATAAGAGTTTTTAGAAAATTTAATTTTGCGTCAATTAGGGTATTGATATATTGAGATTTCACGCTATTAGTTACAGTTTTTTGTGTACAACATCATTCATGTGCAAAACCGATCATTTTTGTAAGTTTAGAATAGAAATATAGCAAATTGGTAAAACTAACCTCAATATTCTTATTGTAGAATTTATTATATACATTATTGATGGCGGAGAAATACGTTATTTCTATTACGATGGTGGCTGCATTCTTTAAAGAAAACATGAAGCAGCTTCACCGTGGTGAAAATTCGTACAAAAGTTGCAACGTACTTACGATGAATTTCGATGCAACTGTTGATCCTGCCGTCTTGAAGGGGAAAGTGAAAGCAAGTATGAAAGGGCTGACATACTCTGTTGAGGTGTGTTTCATTCTATGTAGTACCTAATACATCTTGTATATATTTATTATCCATAGGTATCGATTAACTTGCAAGATAATTACATTGAAAATGCCACGTGTAGCTGCCCTCGAGGACAAGCAGTGTGTCATCACATGGCAGCCCTGTGCATACATGCACATAACAATGTGAGCATCACGGACAAAGAGTGTGCATGGAATAAGAAAAAAGGAGGCGGTGAAGAAAATGTGAAAACATTAAAAGAACTCTACCCTTCGAAGCACGGGGTGTATGAACCAATTAATGGTGAAGTATCTGACGATGTGGTTCAAATGTTTCATAGAAGTTTAGGGCATGGTAATGCAGTTGGCTTTTCATGGTTGTTGCAACCGCATGTTTGCCACAGCGCAATGGAGTTTCTTCCCATTATAGATGAATTAGTTTTCAACAAGGAGTATTTGGAAACGTCTAACAAAAGATATTATATTGAAGAAAGGTGTCAATTAACACCAGAACAAATTACTTGCGTGGTAAAAAATACGGTAGGCCAAGCCAATAATGCAAATTGGTTAATGGCACGAAAAAATCGTATCACTGCAAGCAATTTTGGTGTGATACTAGCGGCAATTCACCGTAATCGCTTTCCACCATCCCTTTTTAAAAGATTGATGGATGGCTATTGTCATGATTATATGTATAGTCCCTACTAGGGACAGGAGACACAGTCGGTACAATGATGGCGGCAGTCAATGACCTCGAATAAATGTTCATCAATATATATTTGTTATTATTGAATGTAACATGACATGGCGCTGCGAGTGAGTTATATAAACGCGAAAAATTGTTAAGTGCGATTGTGTGCCGAGGACTGTAGTGTCCAAAACCAAAATACGGTGTGAAAACTTTTGTGTTTTTACTGAAGTTAGGTTAGAGTTGTTTTCGAGTACTTATTCCATACTTGTACAATGGAAGGTTTAAAGCCACCAAGTCCGATGAGCTTGGAAGGAGACGTAGGAGTAAATTTTAGAAAGTGGAAGCAACAGTTTGAAATGTTTATGTTGGCTTCGGGCTTGGATGTAAAGGCAAGTGTGTCCAGTGAGCAGAAAGTGGCAATACTATTACATAGTATTGGCTCAGAAGTGTATGAAATTTACACTACATTAGAATTGTCGGATGAAGAGAGAAAGAGTTGGAAAGAAGTACTTAAAAAACTTGAAGTCTACTTTAAGCCGAAGGAAAATGAAACAATAAATAGGCATATGTTTCACACCAGACGACAGAAAGATGGGGAGAGTATAGACAGTTTCGTGACCGATCTGAAAAAGTTGGCTCAAAGTTGCAATTTTGGAGATGTCAAGGATAGCTTGATACGTGATAGAATTGTATGTGGTGTAATAGATCATAAGGTGAGAGATGCATTGCTTAGGGAGACAGAGCTCGACTTGAAGAAATGTGTGGATATGTGTAGAGCAGCTGAGCTGGCGAATTTGCAGTCGAAACAGATTGGAGAATGTGGATCAAAGATTGATGCAGTGTCGAGGAAGCCAAAGTACAAAAAGGAGACGAGGGACGACCACCATGGAAAACAAAGCAGGTGTAAAGCATGCGGCTTAAAGCATGGAAAAGTGTGTCCAGCGTTTCGTAAGATGTGCAACAAGTGTAAGCAATACAACCACTTTGCGGTTATGTGTCCGTCAAATGTGTCGTCAAGTTCCTCGAAGAAAGCAAAAGTGTATGAGGTTCAGGAAAGCTCAAGTGAGTTGGAAGAAACCGATGGAGATGAAATGTTCGTGGGGATGGTGAAGAAGAAAGAAGACAATGTCAAGTATGTCAATGGCATTAGCGAGTGGTTTCAGAAAATTAACGTAGGTAAGCACAGCATTAATTGTAAAGTGGATACGGGAGCTGATGTTAATATCTTGAACCTAAAAGTTGCAAAGGATTTAAATCTCTATGTAAGACCAAGTAAAGTCAAGTTAAAAAGCTATAATGATTCTAAAATTGATGTCGTGGGTAAGACAACATTAGAATGCAGAATAAAGGAGAAAAAGTATGATGTGGACTTCCAAGTAGTAGATTTAGACGCACCCTGTATAATTGGACTACCGTTTATAGAAAAGTTCCAATTACTGAAAAAAGTACATGCAGTGGAACAAAACAACGTAGAGTATTTAATTAAACAAAATGAAGATTTATTCAAAGGCATCGGTGAGATGAAGCAGAGTTGCGAAATTAGACTCAAAAGTGAGATAGAACCAGTTACAGAACCACTGAGAAGAATATCATTGAGCTTGCAACCTAAAGTTAAGCTCGAGTTAGAGAGAATGGTAAAAAATGGAATAATTAGAAGTGTGACTGAACCGACGGAGTGGTGCAGCTCATTAGTAACCGTCAAGAAGCCCGATGGTTCACTGAGGTTATGTTTGGACCCTCAGAATTTGAACAGAGCTGTAATCAGAGAAATTTACCAAATACCATCGTTCGAGCAGTTAGCATCAAAAATGTCAGGTGCTAAAATATTTTCCATTTTGGACGGAAACAAAGGATTTTACCAGATAAAACTTAAAGAAGAGTGTCAACTTCTAACCACGTTTAATGCTGGCAATTTTGGAAGGTACTGTTACCAAAGGTTACCATATGGGTTATGCTCAAGTCCGGAAATCTTTCATAGGATGTTCCAACAAGTTTTTAGTGGTCTTGAAGGAGTGGAAGTGTATATCGACGATATATTAATATATGCAGTTGATGAAGTGGAGCATTATAATCGGTTAAAAGCAGTGTTAGATCGTGCTCGTCAAGCGAATGTGCGGTTTAATAAATTAAAGTGCAAGTTTGGAGTGAGTGAGGTTAAATATGTGGGTCATGTGTTCTCAAAAGAAGGATTAAAACCCGATTATGACAAGGTACGTGCCATTGTGGAGATGGACGATCCCAAGGACAAGAAGCAACTTCAAACAGTTCTAGGAATGGTGACGTATGTAAGTAAGTTTATACCTAACCTTACGAATGTAACTTTTTCTATGAGACAATTGTTAAGAAATAATGTTGAATTTATGTGGACTGATAAAGAAAGGTCAGACTTTCAAAAACTTAAAAGACTTTTGACAGAAAAGCCAGTTTTAAAATATTATGATGTGAATAAAGATGTCATATTGTCAGTAGATAGTAGCAGCCAAGGGCTTGGAGCAGTTTTGTTGCAAGATTCACTACCTATAGCATATGCCTCCAAGGCTTTGACTGATACTCAAAAATCTTGGGCTCAGATTGAAAAGGAATTGTTGGCCATTGTACATGGTTGCGAACGGTTTCATCAATATGTTTACGGACGTAAAGTACTAGTTGAAACAGACCATCGACCGTTGGAGTATATTTTTAAAAAACCTTTGTCAGAAACTCCTCTTAGATTACAGAGATTAAGGTTAAGATTGCAAAAATATGATTTAGATGTTAGATATAAGTCAGGTAGAGAATTACTGTTAGCAGATGCTTTGTCAAGGTCATATTTAAAAGATGACTTAGGGATGAAAGAAATTGAAGATGAGATTTATGTGCATGTTAGTATGATAGTGGAAAATTTGTCTTTTTCAAATGATAAAATTGAATTATTTCGACAAGAGACAAAATCAGATACTGATTTACAAACGGTTATGACATACATTCAACATGGATGGCCTAAATATGATAAAATACCAAATCAGTTAAAGTTTTATTATAGCATTAGAGATACCTTATTTGTGATTAATGATTTGCTTTTTAGAAATGAAACTGTTGTTGTTCCAAAAAGTTTAAGATCAAAAATGTTAAAATTAATTCATTGTAGTCACTTTGGAATTGAAAAATGCAAATTAAGGGCAAAAAGTGTTTTATTTTGGCCTCACATGTTTAAAGAAATTGAGGATGTAGTAAAAAATTGCAGTTCTTGTTTAAAATATCAAAGAAAACATGGCCATGAAAAGTTATTATTAAGAGACATACCGAATAGACCCTGGGAGATAGTAGGGGTAGATTTATTTTATTTTCAGAATAAGACCTTTGTTCTAGTGATCGATTATTATTCAAAGTATGTTGATTTTAAGGAATTACGTGCTGAAACTACTGAGAATGTTATTGTTGCACTAAAGTCAGTTTTTTCTTTGTTTGGAAAACCAAAGATCATTTATAGTGATGGTGGACCACAATTTTTCAGAAGTTTTAAATTTAAAGATTTTATTAGAGAATGGGGTTTACAGCACCAAACCTCAAGTCCTTATTATGCTAGATCTAATGGCATGGTGGAAAGATATGTGCAAACAATAAAAAATATGCTTAAAAAATCTGTTGACTCGGGACTAGATCCATATATAGCCTTAATTGAGTACAGAAATACACCGATAAGTAGCGAAATCAATAAGTCCCCCAGTGAATTGGTTTTTGGACATAAAATTAATGCCTTTCTACCTACCACTGAAGATTTTTTTTTAACAAATGAACAGTCTATCAGAGATAAACTAAAACATTCTCAAGAAAAATATAAGTATTTTCATGATAGTAAAAATAATGTAAAACCATTGTCTTTCGAAAAGGGAGAAATAGTACACATTCGAGATAAAGTTCATAATATGACACCGGTAAAAGTAATAGGTCCAGCAGATAGACCTCGTTCTTACCAAGTACAGTTACCTTCAGGTAATATAGTAGATAGAAATCGGCATAATATGTATAAAGCGTCAACACAATTTCGCGTAGATGAACCTGTAACCTTAATGCAAAATAGTGAACAAGTTCAAAATCCTGAAAAGACAGAAAATAGTAATAATCAGGAATCTCGTCAGGAATTAAGTTCATTAATTAAGCCAGAAGTTTCTTGTAAAACGCGAACTGGAAGGGTAGTTAAGAAACCCCAATATTTGTCTGATTATGTTGTAGAATAGTATAGTATTTAAGTATCTCTGTAAGTTTTGTTTGTATAACTTTGTTTAAAGAAAAAGGATGTCATGATTATATGTATAGTCCCTACTAGGGACAGGAGACACGGTCGGTACAATGATGGCGGCAGTCAATGACCTCGAATAAATGTTCATCAATATATATTTGTTATTATTGAATGTAACATGACAGCTGCTAATGCATTAGCTAATGTTAAGTTCTCCGAAAATTGCATATTGTCAAGTGCCTTAATATATTCCCATTTAACTTCTCCTGCATTTGAATTTAAATTAATCTCAGCTAATGCATTTCTAGCCAACTTTAACATATCACAAATACCTAATAAGCAATACACTTTTACATTATTTGTGCAAGGATGTAAAAAATAAGGAATTAAATTATTGGCTAAAACATTACAACCTAACTCATTAAATGTTCTAATGTTTGTCTGAGTGCCATCTGCTGTTATGGATCTGACTACAATACCACTTTCATATAAACTTCTTAAACAAGATGTTATTATCTGAGTTTGTAGAAAGGCGTCCGATTTAGTTATGAGAAAATAGGCAACAGGGCATTTAAAATTGTTCTTATAACTAACAATTTGCACAAATAAAGCTTCAGTAGCTGGCATCTCAAAATCCACTTCAACAATACCCCCATAATTTACATTTCCAGTAAATTTCCCATTACTATGGTCCCAAATCACTTGCTTCCTAATTGACATTCCATCTAAGATTAGTCCACAATTTTTCAAGAAGGGTTTGTTGTGCACTTCTTCCTTCAAATAATCCAACACCTCCTGTAATATTCCTGGCTCACAATTTACAGTACTTAGCCATTTCCGAATAGTGCGTCCATTTGGTAAAATAAAATATTGTTTTAAAAAATTGTAGGCCTTCGGGGAATAAAAATATAGAGTATGAGCAAATTGTTTCATGACTGACGAATATCTGCGTTGTGTTGGATTTACTTCCTTACTGCTTTTTTGTAAAAGAACTAATTCTAAGGGTAGACCTATAAAAATTGACGTTTTTAGAACTATAACTGAAAATAATTTTAAGTAAAGAATCTCACCTTCAAAATAGTTTTTTAATACAGCATCTAAATTAGTATTGCTGTGTCCACTCTTTGAAATTTCATTAATTACTTCTTTCATAGAGGATAATTTTAAGTCCCTTCTTCTAACCTTTTGCTTCAGGGTTTTGATTTGCCGTCTTAATGCAGTAACTGAACTACTTGCCAATGTCTGAGTTCCACAGTCTTTAGAAGTGGCTACATATGCTGTCGATGTAGATGGTGGACAATCTATATCCATATGTTCTGCTTTACTGGCAGTTATGTTAGGCTAAAACAAAATAATTATTTTTTAAAAATCGCCTTCCAAAACAATCGCATAAAATATCTACCTGTTTTTTTACAATGGTTCTTCTTGATTTACTTGGTTTCAGTAAATGCTGAGGAAATGAAAATACTGATGGAACAGCATCTGCTTTAAGTAGTTTCAATGTACATCCTGGCTTATCTTGGTAGTCGGAAGGAAGAAAGTGCGCCCCACAAAGCTTACTGGTTTTAGAGGGATACCAATTTTCTCTCCGAACTGCGTTTTTCCAAAGTTCTAAGATTGCTGGGCGTTTCAATGGGAAACTAAAAAATAACATATATGTCGTTAATTAATACATACATTAATATAATTTAACTAAATGTACCTATTGTGCTTATATGCACCGTCAAAATTAAGTCACGCTTAAAGTTAAGTGGAGCTTAAAAGCGTTGGTACCGATTGTTGAGACAATAATTGGTATGGACTTTAAGCTTCGCTTCATGGTGGTTTATTTATAGCTTCACTTAACTTTAAACATGGCTTAATGTTGATGGTGCATATAGGCCTTAGACATTTAGTATTTTTTTAAAAGAAAAACATTATTCTATATTGTTTAATTAGGCTATAGTTTAACTACTACATATAAATCACATAATAATTTATGCAAATACTTACAGATGGAACGGAATTTGCTTTTCTTTGCTATGTTCATTACTGCACTTAACAGCCACACAATGATGCACCATTTTCGAAAACAGGCACTACACAAAATATTAATAATTTAACAAGATGAACTCTGTTCTAATTGTCTCTATACACAGCTAACACAGCAAACAAAACTCTGTGCTACTCAGAATAAAATAAAAAAGCGTCCTAACCCCCAAATTTGGGTATACTTTTGATGCCGGTAGAAATTTACAATCTACCTGTGCGAGTTGAAAAGAGATGGATATCCTTTAGTATAACGATATCTCTCTTTGCGCTTGACGACACACACCTGCCGGTATAAGATATACGGACGAGGCCCTTCCAGTTACGTTAGTATACAGTTCAATGAGTAAAGACGAGCATATAGCATATTTATTAAAATCAGATATGCGCATGCGCAAACGGGTGCAATGTCAATCTTCTTATTTATAGAGATATTTTGTTGAATTTTAACCAAAGATTCTTCTATTAAAGGCGAAGATATCGCATACTTTAAATATCAGGTGTGTGCATGCGTACACGGCGCAATCCCAAGTTTCTTACTTATAAGAATATTCATGCCACTGTTGTTTTCTTGAAAATATGTATCGTATATAAGAGTACTATTGTATCTACAACCGAAATAAAACACAATCGTGGGCTCCACGAATTAGGCGTATATTTTAATGACTTCTTGACCTTAGCAACAATACCAAATACAAGAATACCAAAACGACAGACAGACGAAAAACAACCTTCGCATTCCCGCGCACGGTAGCGTGGTCTGTCTTAACCTTACATTTTTCTGTGTTGCCACATTTCTATTTTTATAAGGAAAATACATAACATTTTCCCCTTTCTTATTTCTATTTAACATACCTTAAAAGAATTATAAATCTAACCTGATTGGAGCATGCCGTACCCGATTACTGCGCCGTACCTCCTGCAAAGGTGATTGTACAGGCGAATTGGAGTTATTATCGTCACCACAATCATTTGCCACGACAGGTGGCGGTTGTTCAGGCTGAGTTTCGATGAGTAACGGCTTTGTTGCGGGTACTTCGCTTGAAATAGGTTTAGGCGACATATTTATAAGTGTGCTCTCAATAGGTACCCCAGGATTTACCAGCTGAGAATTGCTGGAATCCGCTTTCTCTATATCCCTAAATTTTCTAATAGAATTCACATGCTTATACAGAATTTTATCCTCTACCTTAACCAAATATGTTACCGCGCTCACTACTTTTACAATTTCCCCTATCTTCCACTTCTCATCACAATAAGGTCCTAGTTTCCCTACCAAGATCTTTTCACCTGTCACAAACATTGGGGGGTTCAAAAACTCATTGGCCTCCTTTAGTACTACTTGTCCTCCCTTCTTCGGTTTTAGCAAATCTATCCTTGTCTTAGGTTTTATTTTAAAAATCATTTCAGTAGGACTACTACCTGAACTATTTGGTGTGCTTCTATAACTGAACAAAAAATTAACCATTTGCTGCTCCACCGTTAACGACGACCCTTGCAACAAATATTTATTAAGTGCACTTTTAACAGTAGCCACCTGTCGTTCAGCACTTCCGTTCGATTGTGGGTGATACGGGGGAGTCTTTAGGCACTGGACTCCATTTAGTTGGCAAAACTTTAATCGCAAAGGTGTGTTTTAACTTCTCAATTGTTTGGGTCACATAGTACCTTTAGACATTGGATGTATGTCGACCCAAAGCGACTTACTATCTACAATTAATAAGAAAGTTTTATTCTCTATATGAAAGAAATCGACATGTATTCGTGAGAATACATTCTCTGTTTTAGGCCAAGATACCAAATACTTTTCATGATTTGACTGATTTAGCTGACATACTGAACATGCTAGTATCATACTTTCAATATCTGCCTGTGAATTTGGCAACCAGACTACTGATCTGGCCAGCATTTTTGCTCTTACAATGCCTACATGATCCTCATGAATAAGTTCTAAGATGTAATTTTGTAACGCCCTTGGTACCTACTACCACTTTGATGCCCTTCCTACCTTGTATTGAAGTACAATTCCGCCTTATTGCGCCCCTGTAATATATTACCATTTAACTTTGTTTATAATAGGTGGCGTGGCAATGCATTTTTCCATTGTTGATGTTATGCGCTTTGTATGGAAGTAGAGCAGTTCATTGTACTGTACGTTTTGATATGTTTTGGTTGCATATTTGCAATTATACTTTAATGAGAAAACTCGGTGTTACGTTATTTTCGCCTGAATGACATTCTATACCTTGTTCTATTGATAATTCACCACGTTTGGCAAAGTAAGGTTTTAACTCCCCATCAACTTTGTTTGGCCAACCCGTCTTCACAAAGTTAATAACTTTCATTAATATTGGGTCGGTTTTAGATACTTTGGCTACCTCTTGATACGAAATAGGCAACTCTTCTGTTACATTAAACGCATAAATGGACCCATCTACATGGGTAGGCTCCTTCAAAGGTAACCTTGATAGCATATCAGCCTCACACAGCTGTGTCCCCTTTCGATATTCAATTTGGTAACTATATGCCGAAAGAATGATGTTCCAGCGGATAATTCTAGAAGCTGACATTACTGAGATACTTTTGTTAGGGTTGAAAATCATTCTTAGCGGTTGATGATCACTAATTAAAATAAAAGGCCTCCCATATATGTATTTATGGAATTTTTTTACAGAATAAATTATAGCGAGTGCCTCCCGTTCCAATTGCGAATAATTTTGTTCAGCCATTGACAAGGTACTTGATGCATACAGGTTTTTCTACATCATTTTCCCGGTGACTCAACACACCACTTACACCATATGCACTCGCATCACATGCAAGACAATAGTTTTGCTTGGATCATAATGTGTCAGGATTTGAATTTTTTTAAATTAATTCTTTGCTTAAAATGAAAGCTTCCTGGCAATTTTTGCTAAACTTGAAATCTACATTTTTCTCAAGGAGTTGATATAACGGTCGCAACTGTGAAGCTAGCATGGGAACAAATCTGTGGTAATAGTTTATGAGGCCTAAGTAGGCCCTCAGTTGTGTGATATTTACTGGTTCCGGTGCCTCGTTAATTGCACGTAATTTTTCCTGCGTAGGATGAACTCCCCACTTATCAATTTGATGCCCCAGGTAATCCACCTTTTCCTCAAAAAATTTACATTTTTCTATATTCACTTTTACATTATAATAATTGAGCCTTTCTACAACTAAATTTACATTTTTCATCTCTACTACAGAGCTGGCTGCAATTAGGATATCATCTAGATAACAATTTACTTTTGGCAACCCACTCAACATTTGATCCATTACACATTGGAATGCTGGTGCACATGCAATACCATATGCTAGACGAGTAAACTGAAACAGTCCTAAATGAGTATTGATAGTTAAATATTTCTGATACGCTGAATGTACTTTCAACTGCTGATACGCGCCAGATAGGTCTACAATTGAAAAAATGGTACCGCCAGCTAAGGTTGCAAAAATATCTTCCGGTTTCGGCAATGGGTATTGGTCCACATTTGATACTTTATTAATTGTTACCCTGAAATCAGAACAGATGCGCACATCCCCATCTTTCTTCGGAACTACCACGATAGGCGAAGCCCATTCACTATACTTGACCGGTTTTAAAATACCTACATGTACCATCTGCTCGATTTTTTGTTGGACTTTTGGTTTCAATGCATAGGGCATATCGTAGGCTTTCTTAAAAATAGGCGTAGCCTCTTCCTTAATATTGAACTTAATTTCAAATTTACTAATAGGGTTGCACAAGTTTTTATCAAAGACTAACTTAAATTTGTTTGACAAGTCTTCTATTACATCTAATTTTTCCCTACTACTAACAGTATTTACTCTAAAACTATTTTTCCACTCTGGAAAAAGAATATTCAACCAATTCCTGCCAATTAAAGGCATAAAAGCTTTCTCAGACTGAATTACCGTCAATAGCAACTCGACTTCTTTGTCCATATGGATAACTTTAACTTTACATTCCCCCAAGGCTTTTATACTTTGACCTGTTACTGCATTTAACTTAAACAATACTTTACTTAGAGGTAGCTTGAACCGTTGCACAAATTGCTGGTCCTGTATTACCGTTTTACATGCTCCAGTATCAACCTCGAACTGGATTGGCACTCCATTCACTTTTACGCTGATACAATGCGAATTGCTACCACTAATACCACGTACCTGATTAAGGCTAAACAAATCACTATTTACTTGCTCACACTCGACCATGCTGTTTACTGATGGATCTTGATTGGGCTCCTTCTCCTCGTGTAGTTCTCCCACCTTGGAGGTTGGACATAAGTCTTTTACATGACCAAACCTATGACATGCAAAGCATCTCCACTTGTTTAAGAAATTCACCCCACTGGAACCTGCACCCGCCTCAGATAAGCTTTTGACCTGTTTTTGTGCCAGTTCCGCAACTTGAGCCGCTTTACAAGCACTGGGGAAAGTCAAATTGTCATCTGCCAACAGCTTCCTCTGAATATTCTCTGACCGCAGACCACACACGAATCTGTCCCGCAAGGCTTCGTCTAAAAACTGTTTAAAGTTACATGTGCTCGCTAACTTACGAAGCTCCACAATATACTCTGCCACAGTTTGTTCTGCTGTTTGGTTAGGGGAAATGTGCCTGAGATGGCATACTTTTTTTTAAGCCCTTATATTTTTTCTACAAATAATCTTTAATGCCGAAGTTTTAAACATTTGGACACTAGTAGTTGACTACTACAATAAGTAGTTCCTGAAATTTTATTTTATTTAATAAAAAGCAAGTTTTTTTTATAATAAAAAAATGGTTAGTATGTCATCTCACCCGGACTATCACGGGTGAGATGGCATACAATGGCTTTGAGTGTTTAATAGTTTAGGTAGGTACTCCTAATTTACTGTATTAACGCACAGTTCACAAATAAAAGTTTTAGAATTTGTTGCAAGTCCGGCACATTCACAGTGAGCCCATTTTGCACAAGATTGGAATTTCAACCACCATTCGTTACGCCTTGACTGCGAATAAAGCTCGTTGCAATAAATACAGACGGCGTCGTCTTCATCATCAGTATCTTCAACTGGAAACTCCTCCTCCTCCTGCGCGTCTTTTTGAATTTCTTTATACTCATGTAGATTTAAAACTCTCTTTGTCTTGCGAGCAGACTTTCTTCGTTTTGCCTCTTCTTTCTGTGCCACTATTTCTTTTAAAGCTGCTATTTCTGGAGTACTGTTAAGTACCCCACTTTTTCCTGTCTTTCCAGAACGCTTTTTACGGTGTAAAGAGGTGGCTTTTGGAAGTGGAGATATATCTGTTATGGCAACAGAACAGCAAGAAGATAAAGGCTTTTGAATAGATGTGGAGGGCCCTGTATTTTCAAATGAGATATCTTTTTGTGTAGCATCAGCCAGTAAAGCTTCGGGTTCCTTGTTAGCAAAATTACTTTCAGGAAGTCCTACATTTTCTTGTTCTACATCTGTGGCTTCCGCTGGCGCAAACATCCAGTCTGGGAAAATGTCTGGTTGGAATGGATATATTCCTGTGGTGGAAAAACCATTTTCAGCATTAGAGAGTGTCGCTGCCTTCTGGTAAGCATTTTTGAAAAGTTCAGCCACCTGGTAGTGCGTGACTGTTCTTCCTGGATGGGTTTTTAGCCATAAATTTAATTCTTGATTATAGTAAGTGGAGAGAGGTCCAAAAAAAACCACATACAGAGGCTGTACCCGATGGGTACAGTGGGGGGGAAAGCAAAAAAGAATAATTCCATTGGCTTTGGCATACTCTTGAGCCTCCAGGCTTTTATGGCTTATGTGACCATCCAACATTAACAGGACCTTATCTTCTTTTGTGGGTTTAACGTGCTTAACAAAGTGGTTTAACCATTTGACAAATATATTCTTGTCCATCCAGCCATGTTCTTGAGTAAATGCTACCGCACCAGCGGGAGCGTTGTCCATTAATTCCTTCTTCATATTTTTTCGAGGGAAAATGAATGCTGGTGGGACATAGACTCCTGCAGCACTGAAACTGCAAACTACTGTAAGGTGCTGACCACGTTCGGCGCTGGTTAGAACACCAACTTGTTTTTTACCTTTACAGGCGATAATCTTCGAATTCTTTGAAGGTACAGTAGAGAGACCACTTTCATCCATATTGAATATTTTTGTGCAGTCAAACTTTATGTCTTCCATAGATTGGGCTAGCAAATCGAAGTATTTTAGTAGTATAGTAAGGCCGATCCTGGACCACTTTACATTGAAAAGTGCCATATGATTGAAGTGTTAGCGTTTCAAGGTCAAAGTGGTGTTGAAGGTCAAAGTGGTATTGCGTAAGTGGGGGTGGGTGGGTTTCAAGGTCGAGTGTTGAGAAGAAATGGGGTGTATTGTTTGTGTTTTTCGGAGGGGGGGTGATGGGTGAAGGCCATTGGATTTCAAGGTCGAGTGTTGAGAAGAAATGGGGTGTATTGTTTGTGTTTTTCGGAGGGGGGTTGATGGGTGAAGGCCATTGGATTTCAAGGTCGAGTTGTGAGAACAAAGGGGTGTATTGTTTGTGTGGAGGGGGGGTCGATCGCTGAGAACAAAGGGAGGTTGTGTATGTTGTTTGTGTGTAATCAAATTGTTTGTGTTTTTCTGGGGTGCCGCCTCAAGGTCAAACGTGTTGCAATTTAAATATAGATATTAGAAGATGTTAGCTTGAAATGTGGTTAGTGTTAAGGGGGAATATGCGGCGAACGGCTGTTGAATGCCTTCATCAAACCTTATTGGTATTGCTATCTGATGCTGAGCATGAGGCGGTCTATGGACCTGAGACTTTTAGGGAACAGTGTCAAAACATTGTCCAAACGTATGAGTTGGGGATTGAACTATGTAGACTCTTTTTAAATTACAAAATATGCGTTGATTGCCTTATAAACGGACTGAACGAGACTCAGTTGGGTGAATACATAATACGGTGATGAAGAAAGTTACATTTGACGATAGTAACAATCGCGTGTATGTACTGATCGCGTGGTCCTTTGCATATAGTGCGGCACGAAAAGGGCCTTGGGAAACTATGGCCTTGGATAGATTTCGCTTTAGTACAAAAATAGAGCAATTTTGTAAGATATTGTCTCCCGTCTTAGCAGAAAATCATCGTTTATCAGTTTATCTGACTAGATTTCAAGGTCACCAGAACTCAATGTAATGGTATATCGCACTAGATTTCAAGGTCACCAGACAGTAATGTTTATCGCATTAAATTTCAAGGTCAACAGACAGCAATATAATGGTGGTAGAAACGGTGAATGGAATCAGTCGAATAGTGTTCGCTAATCAGTTAAAATGGATCTTAATCAACTCAACAGTAGCACCTACTGCAAACCTTTCAAGAACGTCAAGGATATGAAGGTCGGTGAAAAGTATAAAGTGATTGGTATCGATCAATACCAAATATGGCGACCGAATACTGATCGATACTGAGAACTTTAAGTGCATCCTTCCTTTGCGCTTTTATGACTACTTCAAGAGCGACAACCGTCTGCAGATCTTCAAGGACACCTTGTCCAGGGAAAAAGTGTTTATAACAAGCGCCGGAACGGCGGGGAAGACTACTAATTTAACATTTATGTAAAAAAGTTGTAAATGAGATAGAGAGAAATAATAAAATGTTGTTGATGAGAGAGAGAAATTGTGTCTCTTATTTAAATGCATATCCACCCTTAGAAACACTTTAGTTGTTCTGTGATCGTGGGGTCGAGATCATCTCAACGAAAAAAAGCTCCAAAATGGATACAATCAGTTGTACTAATAATTATTTCTCGTGCTCGTGCTGGTGCTGTAATAACAACAAAGACACTAGTGATGATTCTATCACCCAGTTTGCCGAAAATGTGCATAGTAAAGCTGCCGACGAACGTTTAATCGATTGCTCATCATATGACCTCTACGATGGTGAAAGCAATTCGAAGAAATATATTGAAATTGGCTACAGTACGCATCTTAATTTGGCCCCAGTTTTACGAATTGTGCACTCTCCATTAAATGCGATAGTGATGGTGAAAGAAGATTGGGAAATGCTTCTAAAGCACCAAACATATCTCGAGATGAAGTTCTTTAGATCTCAAGAGCTCGAAAATTGGATCGACTGGTCCAATGTTAAGGAAGAAGATATTGAGCACGACAAAAGTTCTGAATCGCTTAACGCAAATTTTACTATTCATTATAACAGGAAATTTGTGCGGGATCCCACGACGACTGAGAAAATATTAGAGAGCGTAACAATACAACGTGATAAGCTGCATTATTGCACGATGAGTAAGTACGTCGTTGAAGAATTGTTTAATCTAAAAGATATAATCAACTATCGTTTGGATTTACTGGAATCGTACGCTCTGTCCTGTTTCTATCAGGATGTTATCGAACAGGTGATTAACTACCGTCATTTTCGTAAAATGGAGTTTGGTAACGAGGACGAGGGCGACGATGACAACATCTATCGCGATATTGAAGACGTATTAAACTATAAGTTTAACGTCAATTCTCATAATACAGTTTGCATGATGGAATTATTATACTATCGACCTACTTATTTTATGTATCACATATGTCAATAAACGTACTTTATTTGAGCATTTTTGTTTTATTTGATGGATGGATTTCCTATAAATATGGCAACTTATTGCCGCAATTCAACAATGTTGAATCGGAAGCGGAAGTGTACGGATAGGAGTGGCTTGGTTAATAATCTCATAAACAAACTTCCAGTGGAACTACATATTCCTGGCTATCAGTATTGCGGACCTGGATGCGATGACGGGTGCTCACAGAAATGCCTAACGAACTAGATAAATGCATTCATGATTCAGGTAAAAGAAAAGTATACGGATTCAAGAACGAATAATCGTGCACCTAAAAATAACTTTACTTAATGTGTACCTAAAGCAAATTTTAATAATTTGGTTTCATTTTGTATAAAAAATTATGTCTTAATTAAACACATCTAATTAATTATAACATCGCCTATCGCTTGAAGGTATTAATTCCATTCAGAGGTACCTAATACCATTGAGTAATAAATAAATTCTTTACTCAATGCTAATACGTTATTAGCTTATAGTTACGATTCGAGGTAAAAAAATGCACCTATTTATCACACTGAGGACATGTTTAGCTACAAGCATTTTACGTGAACAGTGTGGATAACAATTTGCGCGATTAAAAATGACATTCCTCCTTCAGTCATATCCAATAGTTTTCTCGTTGTTACAGTTTAGTAAACTTATTGGGAACGCAAAAGACTTTGTGTTCGTCAAGAACGTACCTACTCCTAAAAATAACTAATGGAAATGAGAGAATTGCGATAACGTTAATCGCATTCATAATCTCACTAATGAAACATTTCCAAAGCATTGGATCTATTTTCAATTATAATACAGGCATTTATGGGGATTTTTAGCGAAAAATTACTAGGTACGATTTTAATTACAAGGCTAAGAAGACTCAAATTTTTTCCTGGAACGGCGTTTCAAGTCCAACAATTTTTAACCGCAACCAGATTGCATCAAGGACATTTTTGTAGGAAATACTGCCTTCTTTAGCATGATTTAAAAATGATATAAGCAAAGCTTCTCTCGTTTCTTCGAAATTGACTTTCATATCTGCCCAACATTTTACATACGTTTACGTAGCATGTTTTATTTCTGTAAGTTAGTTCGATGCTTTAATGCAATTTCAAATGGTGTTCTTAGAAAAAATTGCGTTTGAGGAAAATCGGGCGATGACGTGAAGATACGAACTGCTCCTGCAATTTCCTGCGAACAACGGTCAAAACAAAAGACACTTTGTACATTGTACTATTTTAGTTCTTGGAAGGCGATGTGCAACACAAAAGTGCTGATCAAAATAGCCCTTTGCACTGTTCGGGATTTAAGAGGCGTTTTGCATACATGTGAAAAATGTCTAGCATAAAAAATTGTCACATGCAAATGCCAACTATAAAGTTTCATGACTTTCATTGATACATCAGAGTCTTATAATTACAAGGCGTTCAAGAATGAATAATTGCAGGCGCCCCTTCTAAAGTTACAGGGGAGGCGCGTGCAGCAGCTCACAGAAATATGCAATTTTTAGTTATTGTATAAAAATATTTATTGAAAAAATGACCGTATGCATTTTTGAATAAAATTCTTTCTCAGTTAGACCTCTATTTGCATCGCTAAACAAAGATTTAGAAACATATTTATATACACCATTTCATGCGGGAGTTTCACATGTGCAATTAATAGACGCAAATCTATACCTTCCCCGTTTAACGTCCCCAAAAACCAACCAAAAATTACAATAAATGAAAATGCCGCATAGAGTGTCTCCGGAGGGCATAAGCATGATTAAAAATTAATTTCTCCATGTCTCTCTCATCGAAACTTTATACTGTTTAATAATTACACAATTACTATTCTGCAACCGGGTGGTTGTTGTCGAAACTAAGGAGCTTACCTGAACTAAATGAAGGTTAAAGGCGATGACTCATAGAAAATTCTGAGAAGTGAGAACAAAGGAGGCAGTCTTCTTGGAAAAAGCCATGACTCATAGGATGGTAATATAAAGACACCCGTGAACCCTCAGTTCAAACAGATAAACGTGTGCAAGTCGCACATCTGTGCAGTGACATTGCAACGTAACAGGCGTGTGCAAATATGGTATCATCATCGGTAGGATTAATGAGCACTCGGATCGTAAATCTGACACGGGAGTGTATTTCATTATTAAAACATAGGGATGAGATTGTTCGTCATTTATCAGTTTTACGTGATAATGTTTCCATAGTAGAATGACCCCAACACCGAGGACAGTAACCCATGGGGTGACTAACCTAATGGCCTTCTACTTAGCACACGCGCAATAGTTCAAATGACCTGTGGTTCATTACCTACGCCGGAAGGCTTTGGGTAATTATTTTGAGGAATATATGAGGTACCCCGTGACAGCCAACAATGGCATGTCTGCCTGTTAGTCAATGAATTATTTTTACATTACAGCCAATCATCGCAGTCAACCGCTTTCAAGGTTACGAGTTGGAAATATAAGCTATGGCGAGCAGTACAGTAGTGCTAGTCCAGTAGTACCTAGGTCTCGAAACAGTTTGGTGAATCAGTAGCAGAAAATGGTTATTGCTATTGACGTTCAAGGATTTAAAACATCCCCAACGACATTTACGCCAAAGGAGTTGGCGGTATTTAATGGGCACCAAGTTGCACATATTGTGTTCAAACCTCCATTTTCATTTAGCAGTTTAGATGTGAACTACCAGAGACAAGCTATCTGGCTGATGCACAACCACCATTGTATTAAATGGGAAGAAGGACATACACCGCCCCACTTATTTCCGATTATACTTCGCCGGCTAGTATCACCAATGGAGGCTATATATGTGAAGGGAAAGGAGAAGGCAGAATTTATACGAAAAACCTTATCGCAGGATGTCGTCGAGATCAACGAGGAACCTGCATTACCTAAATTGGAAGCCAGCTGTTTATATCATTCCTATCCAAAATGTCATTGTGCATTGGCAAACGTGTATTACATACATAACAACTATACAATGTCGTAATTGTTTAGTAAATAAAGCGATAAAAGTGTAACATTTCTTCTTTCTCTTAATGCCCTATAAATAAGGATGCGGATGTGCAAACGGTCGTTTCAGGAAAGGTTTCGATCACTATATAAAACCTACCGTGAAAAGGTGTTTATTTTTCAGTTGGAAAATACTGCTATCAAGTATATCTACAGCTTTCAAAATAAACAGCTTCTGATATAAACAGGTAAGCAGATAAACAAATAAACAGGTAAACAGATAAACAGGTAAACATATAAACAGGTAAACAGATAAACAGATAAACAGGTAAACAGGTAAACAGACAAACAGGTAAACAGATAAACATGTAAACAGATAAACAGGTAAACAGATAAACAGGTAAACAGATAAACACTTTCTTGCCTACATTCACCATGGATAAATTCGGACGTTCTCATACGCATGCTCAATTTGGAAAACTGTTAAAGACAATTTTCCATTACCGACGATACGATAAATGTAGAAAATAAGAGACTAAGTTATGTTGTCTACCCTATTGAACGTCACGATGCCCTAACGTTGCAACACTACCTATCAACAAGACTAAATCTCAACGGAAACCGGTTAATGAACCTCGCCGATCCAGTAGACGACCGCGATGCCATAAATAAAGGGTACCTCACACAATACATGCGGATTGCGAAAGCGCCCGTAGACAGTCTTCGCAATTACGTAGCGGTACTAGAGGAAGAGTTGAAAGCGGTCAAAGAAACTTTACATAAACTAATAGAGGATGCAGCAGGTGGTGAACGAGATACACAAAGCGGCGCGCAAAAACTTCCCTCGTAGACGT